GGGTGGAGGTGTGAGTTAGGGGAGAGGTAAACTTCAAAGCTTTAAACAAAGGCATAGAGAACTACTGAGCTTGAATGTATCACTTTGTCTATTGTAGATAGGCGTATCTGGGGCAAGTTTCACAGGGAATTGTTTATCACAGTCAAGGCAAGCTCTCACTTCATCCATTTCCGAGTTAAATGTCCGTTCTCTTTGTAAAAACCATGTGATATCTTCTTTAACCATGATTCCTGCTGAGGCTTTTAAAAATATCTACAAAACATAAGCATCAATTGAAGAGCTAGAATTCCAAATGAACTAAATGTACATTATACGCTTTTTCAGTTTGTGTATTTATAGTACTTTAGTGCCGATGTATCTTAATACTCATCTATTTGATAATATTATGACGGGTGCTCAGCAAAAACGATTCTTTTAAACAACGGTAACATTAACTAGAAACTTGCGAGTGGCGATCTGGCTCCCGTTAAATGTCAGATAACGGCAGGTCTAACACCTCTGTGTGTAAATAACTAACGAGATCCTCCATCGCTCTCTGGCTTTCTGCAAACTCAATCCAGCCTCCGCCGGCAAATAGGAAAAACCCGTGAAATCCGTTTTTGTAATGCTGCAGCTCCACATCCACGCCGTTTTCCTGCAGACGATGACCATACATGAGCCCTTCGTCCCGGAGCACATCGTACTGGGCAGTGATGATGTACGCGTCGGCCACATTCCTCACGTCGGGCGCGAACATTGGGTTGAACCGGGAATCCAACACATACTGGTCCAAAACAGACGAGACTTCCTCTCTGCACGCACTGTTGTGAATTGTGTGCTTGTCCGTGACGTTGAGGTAGGCCGGCAGCCGTCGGCGACTGTCTACAAAATTGGATAAAAAGCTGTAGTGTCTTAAGGAGACATGGAGATTGTCGAGCATGGCGGGTTTCACGTCCGCGTGAACGTGCGCGTAACGCATCCAGCTGGAGACAGTCTTCTCTGTGGACGTGATGCCTGGGATGGCGTTGTCTACGTGTTCCTGGTACGACGGAGTGGCGAAGTTGAGCATCTGCAGTGCCGGGTTGATGAGCACTTGGAGGCGAATCAGACTCGCCATTTCGTTGGCGACGGCTGCAGCCAAGTTTCCCCCCGCCCCATCGCCTGCCACCACGATCAGGTCTTTGCAGATGTTCAGGTCCCGAGCGTTGTTGATGACGTAGCGGGTCACGGCCAGGCTGTCCTCGTAGGCGGCTGGGAACGGGTGCTGAGGGGACTTCCTGTATCTGTGGACAGACAGACAGACAGGTTGTTGTTGTTTTTGTTGTTGTTGCTGTTGTTGATGTTGTTGTTGTTGTTATTGTTGTTGTTGTTGTTGTTGTTGTTGTTGTTGTTGTTGTAAGAGTTTTACGGCATTTGCAACACAATTTGGTCATACTAATACCGAACGGCACTTGTAACACAATTAGGTTATATTATAAGTACAAAAGGTTAAAAGTGTTACTAAAGCGTTACATACAAGATGATGAAGAGAGATAAGGATGATAGACGTTTGATAGGAAATAAGGGGTATATCACACCAGAGCACCCGCCAACCACCCACGATGACAATGATGACAGACATTAGTCATGGAATTCATGTTTACTGCTCCGTTTCTTCTGTTTCGTTTTATTTCTTGTGGTTTCTTGGAATTGCTCAAATTGTGTTGTTTGTTGCTGTTATTGTTAATTTTATGGGGGGTTTTAAACTGATCAATTAATTTTTTAATTATTGTTCTTATTTTTAAAATGTGTTTTGTTTTGGGTTTTTTTTT